AGTCACATCTGACACAATGACAGCCGTGATTTGACAGATTTGACATCTTATACAGTGACAAACATGACTTGACGAATGTGACATCCACGACTCGTTAGATGTGACATTTATACAATGACAGCCATGGTTTGACATATACGACATCTTATACAACGACAGCCACGGCTTGAGTGAAACAAGTTATTGCTCCCATTGTTACGCTGCTTCTATGTTTCAAAACAGCTCTGCACCGACAGAACCACTTCAAATGTCTGACCCAGCTGGTCATGGTGACCTGACCCAGGGCAGTTTGTTTGAAGGTTGGTGATGTTTATTTCTTTATATGTGCCGTTAAAATTGTTAACGTTGAAAAATAAAGAGGTAAATCATTTCAATAAGGAACCGCGCAAGTGCTCACTCAGATTATTACAGGGATGTGTAGAGACTTCTCTTCGTTAATGCCAATAATTTAATACACAGCTAAGTAGAATAATACGACAGCTTGTTATCATTATTATAATTTTTTTATTTAAAAAATTGTTTTCACGGGTACATTGTAAACAAATTTTAATATGAGACGTTGGTAATATTTAATGAGGCCCGGATGTCAGGGTCGGCATTTGGGTAGGCCAGGGTGGGGCACCCTCCCCCTTTTGAATTTGCAGGTTTTATTTAAATTGATGTTTACTGTGACGCCTCCAGTAATAAGCAACTTTACAAGCCGAAGCAAGTTTTAGTTTGGTCCTCACTCCGCCCCCTATTGGAAAAACCTGAAATGACGCCCCTGCCGGGTGCACTTATTTTATCCAAAGTTATTGCAGGATGTGACGCTCTTCTTGTAATCTGCTTTGATTTGAAGATACATTTAATTATATTCTTTGGACTAAGTATGGCTACCAATGCGTCATTCCTTTGATGTCATGGTCTTGTTAAAACAAAAGTGATCATGTCTAGTTGTTTTTTTTTTTACAGTGTTTGGAAAAATAGCGGCTTCTAATTTGCAATTTTAAAAAATAAATTTGTAACTTCTAACATGAAACCTGATTCTAGGATCCCACGAGGTTGACGATGTCCAAAGGGAGGAATGCAATCTTGATTGCGTGTTTGGCTGTGCTAAGGAGAAATGCCACTCACAGTACATTCCGTATACCAAATTTCGCGCCAAAAGTCTTCCGAGGAGTTACAGAGATCAGAACCTGCTGGAGTTGGTTAAAGTCATCGCCTTTTTAACGGTAAGGATACAGGTTGACTTCACCAGCAAGGAGAGGCCAGAATATTACCAGGGCACCAACAGGAAGTACCCGTTTGGCGACTCCCGGGGAAGTACCAAGAAACGCACAGGGAGCGGTCGAGTGGGAATGGTGTGGAAGTTCAGGGAAGAAAACGAACGTACATGTCCTTGCAGTGAATGCAAGAACTCGGACAACCCCAGGAGGGTATGGGGCTTGATGAGGATCATCACGGCTGTGCACGTGGTGTACGATAAATCAGAGGCGCTGCGAGCGACTTGCCGGTTCGGGTACGACCATGTCGGAAGTCCGGGTGTGACTTTTGAAGGCGTTGACATGGAGCGAGCAGACGTCAACGATGACAGGTGCCATTTGTCATGCGTGACCCATGACGTCAGACTTCTGGACGCCATTATGGTGCAATGGGGACGGTACCCGAGACTCCACGGGAAGGTCACGGAGAGATTCACAGGACCGGAAGACAAGCTCGTCGTCATAGTGTCCCACCCTCATGGCTGCAGCAAGCACGTCTCCCTCGGGACGTGGACCAACAAGACGCCCTTTGGCGAGTCCTCACCCGGGCACCCGTATGTCAAGTACACCTACACGACGGCCACCTGCCCCGGGTCGAGTGGCGCCACGGTCTACATCATGGGCAGATCCTGGGGACTGTGGTACAATCAGATCCACAGCGGTCACAACGGAGAAGACAATTTCAGCGGGAACGGATGCGATTAAAGAGCATACTTTTGAGAGTATGGGAAGACTGGTCAGAGTCTTCAGTTATAATATGATCCACGGAACACAATCATGATACGATCCACCTAACACAATCATGATATGATCCACTAACAGAATCATGTGGGTGCATTCTCTCTTAAGATTGTACCACTTCTAACAGTTAGCCTGAAAGTCTCGTGGATATATTTCCACCCCCCCTACCTGTCTCTTGCTAATAGAAAATCATAATGGAAATGCTTTTTAGAAATCATGTCTCGCTATGTAAACACATGCATGTTTGATTCTTCATGTTATGGACAATTTATTCTAAATGCAATGTTATTTTAGATGTCATTCTAAATTTTATGCTCATTGTTATTTAAATTTTATTCTAAATGTTATACTTAATGTTATTCCCAATGTTGCAAAATGGCTGCCTCTGTAAAGAAAAAAAAAAAGAATAATAATAAAAAACACAATTATTGTAAATAATAAAAAATAAATTTTGTAAATAGGTTTTTATGTATTATTATTTTAATTTTATTCATAGCGTTATTTATAATTAAAGTTTATTTCGTAATTTATTTTTGGCGTGCTTATTTGATTTGCAGGGTGGAATTAAATCATCGTTAGTTTTCTTGTAACAATGCAGTTTAAATGTTGGTGAGATGGTGTTTCATTGAGGTCAGAGCGAATTTGTTTACCGTCTGTGGTTCTTATTAGATCAGGTCTGCACAACATATGGCCCGCGGGCCGCATACGGCCTACCAGCACGCACATTGCGGCCCGCGAAATAACGAACTATTTTATTATCTTAATAGTTTTCGCTCTGTCCTATTATCTTTCGGCTCGTAAAAGTTTTTTGTTTATAAAGTATTACATCCCACCTAACATTTTGAGTTGTGCAGGCCGGCATTAGATGATTTCTATGCCCTGTTCACTGTTATTGTATTCATTAGAGTTAAAAGTCGCAATAGGTAAGTAGCAAAAGGTAGGTCTTTGAAAGAGGCAGGAAGTGTAAAGTCACTGTTTGCAAAAGGTAAGTCTTTGAAACAGGTATTACGTGTAAAGTAATTGTTCGCAAACAATAGGTTTTAAAACAGACTGGAAGTTTAAAGTCACTGTTTGTAACAAGTAGGTTTTAGAAACAGGCAAGAAGTGTAAAGTAATTGTTCGCAAAAGGTAGTTCTTTGTAACATGCAGAAAGTCGAAAGTCATTGTTTTCAAAAGGTAGTTCTTTGTAACATGCAGAAAGTCGAAAGTCATTTTTTGCAAAAGGTAGTTCTTTGTAACATGCAGAAAGTCGAAAGTCATTGTTTGCAAAAGGTAGTTCTTTGTAACATGCAGAAAGTCAAAAGTCATTGTTTGCAAAAGGTAGTTCTTTGTAACATGCAGAAAGTCGAAAGTCATTGTTTGCAAAAGGTAGTTCTTTGTAACATGCAGAAAGTCGAAAGTCATTGTTTGCAAAAGGTAGTTCTTTGTAACATGCAGAAAGTCGAAAGTCATTGTTTGCAAAAGGTAGTTCTTTGTAACATGCAGAAAGTCGAAAGTCATTTTTTGCAAAAGGTAGTTCTTTGTAACATGCAGAAAGTCGAAAGTCATTGTTTGCAAAAGGTAGTTCTTTGTAACATGCAGAAAGTCGAAAGTCATTGTTTGCAAAAGGTAGTTCTTTGTAACATGCAGAAAGTCGAAAGTCATTGTTTGCAAAAGGTAGTTCTTTGTAACATGCAGGAAGTCTAAAAACATTGTTGGTAAGGTAGGTCCTTGTAACAGGAAGGATACCTAAAGCTATTGTTGGGAAGGACGGACAATATCAACTCAGAAATGGTAATTATTCATTTAATCGATCTGGGTTTCATGATAAAATATGTATTCTTGCCTTAAATTACTGGCATTACATATTTGTTTTTAAAGGAATGAATTATTAAATTATCCCATTAAATATTTTTTAGAGATTTGACATTATGCTATAGTAAATATTTAAGGAATATGAAATCACATTTATTTAGAGATAGTGAAAATTTCACGTGTACAGAGTTCAACTTAAGCAAGAGAATTCTCATAATGTTTTGTAATAACATATGATGAATTGAAGGAATAACATAATACAGATCATTCTGATGATAAATGACATATTTTTTATATTAAATATAAAAATACAACAATGCTTAAAAGATATACTCTCCAGCCAGTTAGCTGTATTGTCATAAAACATATACCCTCCAGCCAGTGAGCTTGACTGTCATAAAACATATGCCTTCCAGCCAGTGAGATGGACTGTCATAAAACATATACCCTCCAGCCAGTGAGCTTGACTGTCATAAAACATATGCCTTCCAGCCAGTGAGATGGACTGTCATGAAACGTATACCCTCCAGCCAGTGAGATGGACTGTCATAAAACATATACCCTCCAGCCAGTGAGCTGGACTGTCATAAAACATATACCTTCCAGCCAGTGAGATGGACTGTCATGAAACATATACCCTCCAGCCAGTGAGCTTGACTGTCATAAAACATATGCCCTCCAGCCAGTGAGATGGACTGTCATAAAACATATACCCTCCAGCCAGTGAGATGGACTGTCATAAAACATATACCCTCCAGCCAGTGAGCTGGACTGTCATAAAACATATGCCTTCCAGCCAGTGAGATGGACTGTCATGAAACATATACCCTCCAGCCAGTGAGCTGGACTGTCATGAAACATATACCCTCCAGCCAGTGAGATGGACTGTCATAAAACATTTACCCTCCAGCCAGTGAGATGGACTGTCATAAAACATATACCCTCCAGCCAGTGAGATGGACTGTCATAAAACATATACCCTCCTGCCTTGAGCTGTACTGTCATAAAAAGTATAATTCATCACTTGGACCAGAACTTATCTAGTGTCCTTCTTTGGATGCATACAGTTACAATGAATCAACAACTTCAGAACAAGAACATATATTTTTATCTTATAATTCAACATTTTTAATTAATTTTTAAATATGCGCCTTTGTTTTTTTTAAAAATAATTTAGAAACAGTTTCAACTAATGTGTTCAACGGTAAACAGATTGGGGATCCATTTCATGTATCAATAATTATTTCCTCCTCTTTTTGGAATGATCCCAATAAACAAAAGAAATGTATCCATCAGATACCTAATTGTTGCCTTTTCTTGTCTGTACTCTAAACACATTGCAAGACTTAGACCTTCACTTAAAATGGACACAAAGAAATTTAAAATAAAGTACTGTGTAATTAGAAAAGTGACGAAGAAGAAGACACGCGCCAGGACTCCGTGCACGTCCACTATGCTGTCGAAAAATGGTTCTCCGAGGATGAAAAAAATCAGGCTCAAAAAGCTTCGATCGAGTGACATAAAGCCATATAGATGTTGTCCGAAGATGACCAGTCCACTGAAGGTCAAGCCAAGGATTAGAATGGCGGACATCAGTAAGAACCCAAAGAAACTCTTCTTGGCTATCTCGAATGTCTTGATGAAGATCATAAGGAAAGGGTTGAACCTGTGTGGAAGGGACAAAAAGGAAAAAGAGAAAAAGGGTCAACAGCAGATTTTGAACATTTATGTTCTATTCAATCCTCTTTTTGTTTGTTTGTTGTTGTTGAAGATTAAAATAATCGAATATAATCATATATATTTGAACTCTGAAGACTTACGTCACAACCTTGAGCATTTTGAATATAGAAAGAGCTCCTAAGAATCCCATGCAGATGCTGAAATCAAAATTTCTGTAAAACACCGTTTGAAAGTCGATGTAGCGCCCGTGGCCGAATATATTAAAGGTGTTCATTGCATCCATGTACGCCAGCAGTCGAAGCACGTATAAAAATCCTGAAGCATAGCTCACCACCAGCATAAATATCTGAAAATGTATAAAAACAGATTTTATAATGCTATTTAAGTCTGATGATAATTAGGTACAATGTATAATCCATACACAATTATACAACGGATTAAATTTTTAAAGATAAGTTGAAGTTCTTTGTTATGTAGAAGACGTATTTACGTCACTTTCTCCGTGCCGTGAACTCTGTCTGAACCCAAATTAGGCTGCGTTCGTATTGGGCTTGGCTTACAACCTTTGATCTTGGCCTTTGTTTACTATCACTTCCAATTAAAAATAATTAATAATAATATGTAATAATAGTATTTTGTGGAAAGTTCGGGAGTGAACTAGACAGGTAAACAATATGTAAGGCATTTCGAGATCTTTCAGTAGATTAGAATATAAAAGCAGGATTAATCTTTGGACGGAAAGAAAAGGAGATTTTTGACTTCGCGAGACAAGAGTGTGTTATTTTGTGTTTACATATATGTGTGTTTATTAGCATTTATCATTGTACCTTATTAATTGGCACATTGTATTAACTGTGTACCGGTACAAGATCTATCATACTCTGTAAGCTGATGATTTTTAAAAATATATTTCTTTTACTTTGTCATCATTTAGATAACTAAATATTAATTGTACTGTTTCGAGTGTCGTATTTTTGTTGTTATATTCCTCATATGGTATATTTCTTTGCTATGCACTGTTAAGAACGAGCCATACAATTAAAATAAGAGATTAATTTCTGACTATAGAAGGCAGTTCGTAATATTCTTTTTGTAAATGATATTGCAATAATGCCAGCAATAGTGCTACACGCTAAACTAAGTTATACTTCAAGCCAGTTCCAGAAGCTCTGAAAGTAGACGTGGAAGCCATCCATGTACAGCTCGTATATTTCGACAACCGTATAGAAGACGACACAGATGGCCGTGAGTCCCTGATCATAGAATAACAAATGGTTCAGTAGGGATTCAATAATAATTTATCTATTCGAGCCCATACTAATTGATGTATACGAGCCCAATACTAATTGATGTATACGAGCCCATACTTATTGATCTATACAAGCCCAATACTAATTGATCTATACGAGCTCAATAATAATTGATCTATACGAGCCCAATACTAATTGATCTATACGAGCCCATAAGTAATGATCTATACGAGCCCATACTAATTGATCTATTCGAGCCCATACTAATTGCTCTATACGAGACCAATGCTAATCGAACTATACGAGCCCAATAATAAATGATCTATACGAGCCATTACTAATTGATACATACACTTATTCCATTTTGTTTAAACCCAGAGAGTTAACTAATGTATTTTCTGACAGTTGTAAGAAAAATTTTCAAATATGTAACACAGTGATATTTGAAGTTAATTTGCAGCTGAGGGAAAAAACACTATTTCGTGGCCAAGTGATGAACCATAGATATAAAGATAGATAAGGGGGAACTACAAAGGCAGCCATATTTGAAATGAATGAAAAAACAGGTGGGAAGATTTGGTCTCATGTTTTTTTCTAACAAATGGATGTATTATAACTAAACTGTATTTAATAATCATTCTATTATTCATCATAATTCTTTGATCATAATTTTTATAATTTTCATTTCATAACTTTAAAACGCATTAATATGCTTAAGATAGTTCCTTAGTTGTTACTTTAAATGTATTTGTAATTTATAATTTAATACTTGAACTTTTACTAAAATAAAATCATATACATAATATATTTTGCTCCTTTAAAATTAATTGATTTTCATAAAATAATAGAAAATAACAATAATCCTATTTAAGAATCCGAACGTTTGTCGTTACGGAGAGCCTAGAACATTCTTATATATATATATGTATAAATTATATATACCTATTATAATTCTAAAGTCCCAACCACATATATATATTTCAACAACTATGTCAGAAAAAACAAAATAAAATATAACGCATCAAATGCACTTGCATTATTTTAAAAAAGGAATCTGATTAGAAAACTGGATTCTGATTAGAAAACTGGAATCTGATTAGAAAACTGGAATCTGATTAGAAAACTGGAATCTGATTAGAAAACTGGAATCTGATTAGAAAACTGGAATCTGATTAGAAAACTGGAATCTGATTAGAAAACTGGATTCTGATTAGAAAACTGAATTCTGATTAGAAAACTGGAATCTGATTAGAAAACTGGATTCTGATTAGAAAACTGGAATCTGATTAGAAAACTGGAATCTGATTAGAAAACTGGAATCTGATTAGACAACTGGATTCTGATTAGAAAACTGGAATCTGATTAGAAAACTGGAATCTGATTAGACAACTGGATTCTGATTAGAAAACTGGAATCTGATTAGAAAACTGGAATCTGATTAGAAAACTGGATTTTTCGAAAGTTAGAGTTAAGGGGTGGTGCGCTGAAAATTTGAACTTATTTTTGTTATCATCGGCAACACGTTTATGTGCCAAGTATCAGATTGATAGACTGACAGAAAGTTGGTCGATTATCCGCCCGAATATGTTGCCTTAAACTCACACACACAAGCAAAGTTAATATAAAAAAATTGCAAAAGTGGGGAGTGAAGCTAGCCAAGGTTACAATTTATTTAGACACACGACACACATATAAAATAGATGCAATGCAAGAGTGCTTATAAAAGCCTCGTATATATTTCAGTAGGCTCCATTAAAAAAATGTAGTTGCTCATTGTTATAGGCGTCCCATTTAATTTCATACATCTTTTCTGGTGAATGAACTTAAGCTGACCTTAAGACCAGCTGCACTAGTATTATGGTGTGGCTTACTAACTATAGTCTCGATTTGACCTCGGCTATACCTAAAATCTGTGGTCTGTTTCATGATTCGATTTTTGTAGAATATTGTATAAGCAGCGGGAAGCGAGTACAATACGTAACCTTCTGGAATAGTCTATAGAAAAAGACTATATATAAAGCCGAGAGATCGAATGACAGGAGATCAGGCGCCCAGACGGTAGATGAGACGAGATATATTTTTGAACGTGTGCTAATTTTGTTAGAGTGCTTTGTTTACTGTTTGTGTGTGTAGATTTCTTTTTATCATTGTAAATTTTTACAACATTGTATCTTCTTCGACAATTGCCGGTACAAGCCAATCATTTTAATGAACATAATAAAAATTATTAATTGTAATCAGCCCTGGTTTGAGTATCGTGTTCATTGTTATTGTATTTAACATATGGTATCGTTTTTTGTTATGTACTGTTTTAGAACGAGCCATTTAATTAAATAGGAGATCAATTTCTCCATACTGATAAAAAGTACGTATTAGTCATGATTTAAGGCGCATACATCTACCTCAACTATTTGCAGCCAATATTCTTTTCTGGTATTGTCCAAGAAAAATCGCCCCGTTGAAACATGATACAAAGGAAAGACCCCTCCCATGACGTCAAACTCGAAGGCGAGCATGACGTGTACAAAGAGGCCAGAACTCGGGTTGTACAAGTTGAACTCGACAAAGATGCATCTGTGAAAATAAGTTTGTGTGAAGTTTAGCTCATTGCAAATGATTCAATTCTTACATTGCTATTATAGTATCAATAATAGGAACATGAAATACAATTCTCATATTTTATTTACTCAGTTGAATACTGGTACTGAAAATTATTTATTCTTCCATTTAGAACATAACATTTAATCTTTTGCTAAATAGAAAAATACACACACACACACACAAGTAAAGCAAAAACTAATTCAAATGTCTTTCACCGTGTGTAAGAGTCGATCCACTGCGATTGACTAAGGTTACCCAGAAGTGCCCTACACACATCCAGGTTGTCCCTGGACAAGATGGTGACGTAGCCCCCGCCAGAATAAGTACCGTGGTAGCCTGCATTGTGGTGAATGTTAGACAAATGACGGGACTGTCACATTTGATTGGGAAATGGCATAGAACCTCATTAAACTATCTTCTGTAAATTTACATAGAACTTAATGAAACTATATTCTGGAAACATGATGTTATGTAGACGATGTGTTTACGTCACTTTCCCCGCGCCGTGATCTCCGTCTGACCCCAAATTTGGCTGCGTTCGTATTGAGCGTGGCTTATTCCCTTTGATCTTGGCCCTTTTTTACTACCACTACCAACTAAAAATAATTAATATTTTCTTATAGAACTAGACCGTCTGTAAGGTATTTAGAGATTTTTCAGTAGGGTAGAATAAAAAAAAGCGGGATTCATTTTTGGAAGAGAGCGTTAGAGATTTTGACACGAGGCAAGGGTGTATTTTTCTGTGTGTACTCATATGCGTGTTTATTCGCATTCATCATTCTACCTTATTTTTGCCACATTGTATTAACGGTGTACCGCTACAAGAAATACCATACTCTGGAAGTTGATGATTTTTAATTATATATTTTTTTAATTTTGTAATTATTGATTCTTAAATAAATCTTATTAATTGTTATTAGCAACTCATTTGAGTGTCGTAGTTTTGCTATTGTATTTTCTCATATGGTATCGTCCTTTGCTATGCACTGTTTGGAACTAGCCATACAATTAAAATAAGAGATTAATTTCTCACTATGGAAGGCAGTGCGTAACACATGCATAGAACTTAATGAAACTACGTCCTATAAACGTACATATATCTTAATTATAATATGTTCCATAAGCATGTATAAATTAAATTAAACAATGTTCTATAGACTTGCAGAGAATTTAATTAAAATATGTTCTTGGAGGAGGGTTAACTTTAATACATATTTTTTAGAATGTTAATGCAGATCTTCTCAGAATCCATGATGATGAAATACTCTATTCTAAACGTATTAGACGCTTTGAAAAAATGTGGATTTTGGTGGTGCTTTTTCCTTCTGAATCTTTTAAAGTAAAAAAAAAATAAAGAATAAAAATTTATGATATAAACACAAAAATTAAAAGTACGCATAAAAACATATGAAAATAAATGTTACATTTAAATTTTTTACCTACAAAGCAAGTTGTGACCTTAATATAATGTAAACTACATGTTTTTTTTTTTCTGTGGATATTTCTTCTTAACAAAAAAGGAACGATGATTGTTCGCTGTGTTTCCTGATGTAATTTTTAAAAAATTCAAAAAAATCCAAACCACCCTAATGCTTCCCAGAATTGCCTTTGGTTTTGTACTTTCCTAAAGTATTTTCAACTTATTGTAATACTTCGCCTCTTTAAATTTCAAGTCCTTAGATAGAAAATAATTCTTCAAGAGTTTAATGAAATCTGGGGTGGATTTTCCATGTTTTGAAGATTGACCCTACCTTTAAATGTGGCTTTATTCAAGCTTTGGCTGACAAGTACCTTTAAATGTGGCTGTCTTCAAGGCTTTGGCTGACCAGTACCTTTAAATAAGGCTTTCTTCACGGCTTTTGCCGACCAGTACCTTTAAATGTTGCTGTCTTCAAGGCTTTGGCTGACCAGTACCTTTAAATGTAGCTGTCTTCAAAGCTTTGGCTGACCAGTACACAAACAGGCCATCCTCCTGTTCATCGTATGCATCTAATATTGGATTTTTCCAGGAACCATCATAACTTTTCGTCTCCTCAACACCTTCATCCATGGAGTGGCTACAGAATTTCACACCATAGATCTTTCTCATAGCCTCTGAAAGGCCTGTGCAACCAATGAGAAGCGTTAAGGAGTAACATTTTTTTAGGTTTGGGTGGTTTATTAGTCTTCCTTATCTTTAACGCTTTCTTTAACACTATCTTCAAAACTGTCTTTAACACTATCTTTAGCATTCCCTCTAACACTATATTTAACACCATATTTAACACAATCTTTAAAAATATCTTTAGAACTATTTGTAACACAATCTTAAAACTATCTTTAACACTATCTTCAACACTATTTAACACTTAATCTTAAACACTATTTTTACCACTTTATTTTTAAGCGATTATCACCCACGGGGCTATCAATTTATGTCATTTATGGGGGAAATAAGCGACAGATAATGTCTAATACATTTCAGTTGATGCCTAAAGTTTTGAGATTATAAATTAATCATACATTTGTTTAGAAATATATATTAAACACCAATAAGTTCTCAATTATTTATATTACATAGATTTTGTAAAAATTCACTCCTATAAAACTTATTTAAATACATTAAAAAATATTAAATTTAAAATACAATATGAAAGACATATTTTTTTAAAAAAATAGTTAAAAAAAAAAAAAAAAAAAAAAAAAAAAAAAAAAAAAATTAAAAAAAAAAAAAAAAAAAAAAAAAAAAAAATAAAAATAAAAAAAAAAAAAAAAAAAAAATTTTTTTAAAAAAAAAAAAAAAAAAAAAAAAAAAAAAAAAAAAAAAAAGAAAGTATATTTATATTTTGTTTAGTTTGAAAATAAATAGAGCTTACAGTATGCACCACAGTTAACAGTTCTAAAACTCCAGCATCCTGAACGCGTACATGTTTTTGTCAGCGGTGCACAAGGTCGGCTAAAACATATTCCCAATTAAAAAGGAAATTATACTGAGCAATTGTTTTTGGAAATGGGTCTTTCGATGGAGAAAGAAATATCCATAGAATTATTTGACCTCCTATAATTGATCGCTACGGGTGAATATCTATGAAAAAAAAGGTAGCAGTCTAATTTAAAAAGACGTAAACCACGTTAAAATGGAAAGACAGACACAGTTTCAACGGAAGGGAAGGTCTCATCGACCAAAATGTGAATGTGACTCTCGTCGGAGAACAACACATTCCTATATAAAAGTAGGAATGGTCTACAATTTATCATCCTGGCTCAAATATATGGTTCCAAAACGTTGTCAAAAAATGTATCCATTGCAAAAAAAAAAAAAAAATTAAATAAAAATGCATCTTTGTCCTTAAACAAATGACATATTCACCAACTTTCGCACGCGTTCAAGAGAGGGATTTAAATTACTGCAAGTTTTGATGGAAGTTCCGCTATTGCTAGTTTTGATGGGAGTTCCAGTACTGCTAGTTTTGATGGGAGTTCAAGTCATGCTAATTTTGGCGGGCGATTCTGTGCAGCTTCTTTTGGAGCACACTATGAATTAAACTTAGCATCTACTCACCAGAATCTTGCCGAACTCTGACCTGTCGAGTTCGAGCTGGACCAAGTAGATTGGTGTCTTTGGGCAAATTAAAACCTTGCTCATCAGGGGCCAGCTTATCTATTAAGACTTCATCAAGGTAACGCCACATATCTTGAGCAGTTTTTACCTGGACATTACAAAAAAATATTTTCAAACATAATAATGGGGATTTCCAAAGAAAGTATTATACTTGAAGCATTACTTATTTATTTTAAAAATTGAACTATTTTGAAGTTATAAGCATAAGCAGTATATTTTTTTTTATCTTGTGCACTCTTTGAAATGCTTTAAATTTTATATTTTTACTCGATTCATCCGTACGTTTATTTTAATGTACACATTCTAAACATTTGCCCTCGCCTATTTAAATTTCTTTTTTAGTTAAGATATATTATTTAGTATGATATATATATATATATATATATATATATATATATATATTATATATATATATATATATAGGCATCATTCCATCTTCGCGACACGATTGAGTAGCTATGTAGTCCTACACTTCGACGAGTGACTCACAAAGCAAATCCTAGAATGACAATCTCGACTGCACTTCTCGCAGGAGAATATTGATTCCTGGTAAGATTTTGACTTCCGTATTGTTCTTTTTGTTGCAAGGGCCTCGTTTTGCGTATCTCTTGCCTTTTTTATTCCATCATACACTGCTGTTCACCAGCTGGATCATTTTTCGGCAATGAGCGCCCATCCGTTGTTCTCAATATTAGGCTTCCGTTACGCTCATTTTGAAACGTCCATAAATCTGAGGCGTGGCCGTCCGATAAGTTCTGTCCCTTCTGACAATTCTCCATACAGCAGCATCTTTGGGATACGGCCTTCCTCCATTCCCCTTAAATGGCATAACCAGCGAACTCGTCTTTTTGCTAAGAGCATATAATATGCAAAACATTTATAAACGTTTCAAGACCTCCGTCTTAGGCACGTTGTCCTGCCATCAAATACGTAAAATGTGACGAGGACATCTTTGATGGAAGCTGTTGAGTTTCCGTTAATGACTGGTATATATGGTCCACACTTCGCTGTCATATAGGAGCGTACTAAGCACACATGTCTGCAAGACAATTATTTTTGTTTTATCAGTTAGATTGAGATTATTCCACACCCGCTAATTTAGTTTAGCCATATTAGTTGCTACTTTTGCGATCCTGATATTTATCTCTTCCAAGGATCAAAGGTATGTGAAATGTTCAACAACCGAAAGATAATGGCCTTCAATAGATATGACTGGAGGGGATGGTGCTTCTTGCATCATTACATGTCGTAATAAGTTTTCTGTAGACTAATTAAGACAGTTCAAACTTTTTACAAGAGTGTGATAGACGATTAACCAGCCCTTGAAAATCTTCTTCTGCTTGAAATGTTGAGTTATGATCAACATACAATACACAAATATATCTATCGATCTATATAAATAAATAAATATAAATATATAAATATATATATACATATATGTATGTATATATATATATATATATGTATATATATATATATATATATATATATATATATATATATATATAAAATAAACATATAAA